GACGCTACCTCGTATCAGAGCTCAGAAAGAACTGTGCAGCACCTTTGTTTATGACTACAAAATGAGCACGAGCTGCAGTTCTGCGTGGAATTCGCACCTCACCCAGGGGGGACGAACGACAATGATGACCATGCCTGTGAACCGAATAACATCACAGTGCAAAATAAAATTATCGCAAAAATACTGCCCGTGAATCAATTTACAACTCTGAAATTTTTGTCACTCCTTCCTTCAATGAATGGGTATTTTTTTCTTGATTATTATGTTTTGCTCTGCAATACATGTTTATACAGATCGGTTCACAGACATGGGCATCATTGTCACTCGTCCCCCCTGGCTGAGGTGCGAATTCCTCGCAGAGCTGCCGCTCGTGCTCATTTTCTGGTCATAAACAAAGGTACTGGACAGTTCTATCTGAGCTTCGATACTAGGTAGCTTACAATCCCAATACCTTTTTCCTGAATTGGAAACAACGTAAAGCAGGAAAAGCCGTTGGGGATGCTTTGCAATACATCAAAATGTGTGTAGCAGGAGTTTGAACCAAAACTGCCAAGGGATATTTTCAAAATGTCGAGGAACAGGTCATTCGATATCAGAGCAAAGTTTGGAGCAATTTATAGTGCTTCTAAAAACTGAAAATTACCTTTTAAAGAATAGCACGATAGGCAATCGGCTTCTGTTTTCAGAATCAGGAAACACACTGAAGTTGCTTGTTCCGAAAATTGAAACTGGTGTCTCCTTCTTCCTGATAGTAATTTATTTTTGAAATTCCAAAACAATTTCACAGCTGAATTTTGACCGACTTTTAGTTACGGACTTCTGCTCCAACGATTTTTCTGAAATTCCTCTGGCATATTTATTATATCAATTAAAGCCGATACCAGAAATTTCAGTAAAAAATATCAGCAAAATTTTTTACTAGACGCGATTTTCTTTGAACAGTAGGGTCCTTTTAAGCGCTAATTTCTCAAGAAGTATTTACCATCAATGAAATCGGAATAGTTCGTATTATTGCCGAATGATATCTGTTGTTATTTGCAAAGTTTCGCAGCCATTGCGTTAAAATCGAAAAAGTTATGACGGAAAATTTGTCACAGCTAAATGCTCTTGTGTTAATCACGGAGCCACCTTAACTGTAACTGCAAATGTCAGAAATGTGACTTTATTAAAATTCGGTAGATCAGATACATCAGTGATACATGCGCAGCAGAGAACAGTGCTACAATAGCGTTGTCTGGTTTATCCCACCGATCCCTCCCTCCGGTAGTCATGCTGCGATACTGTCCTGAGTACGCGTAACCGGTAAGCCTGGTACCCTCAGAAAAGGGTCGTTGGGTTTTAAATCAGTTGGGTGAAATTTTCGCTAATGAGACAATGAGACTGCCGGGTTTAAGCTCTATTCTTAGTTTACGAAAGCTACGAAATTTCTAGGTGCCGAAATCAGAATGTAGAGATTACTACGAAAGCTACGAAATTTCTAGGTGATCTAGAGATTACTACAAAATCCGAAATTCTTAGGTGAACAAACCACACAAATTCCGAAACTCTGAGCCCTACGACAGTCACCACGAAACATTTTCGAAATTTTTAGCTGTTCTTGGGCTCCCGAAAATTTTAGCCATTCTAGAGGGCTCCGAACAGATATTTCCCCGAAAACGGTCGTTGGGTGCCCCTGAAAATTTCTTTGCGTAGCCTTCATATAGGGGAAAAGGGCTATGATGTTGAATTTATCAAAAAGTTTTGATAACCCCAATGAATTGAAAAATTCTTTTAAAAATTACGGCATAACTGCGAAAAACGTTTTCTTTTAACCCCCCCCCCCCCCATCTCACCCAAAAGACCACCCACTCACCGTGCACCCCCTCCCCCTCCCCGCCGTGCACCGTCAAAAGACTAGGTTTCAGACCCCTTACTGCTCAACTACAAAAAATGGCGGAGGAAGGTGCTTCCGAGGTAGGCGTTTGTAATGTTCTTTTTCGTATTCCATCTCTGATTAAATAGCAGCCCCCCCCCAACTATAGTAACTATTATGTTTATAATAAGTGGTTATTCATTTCTCGATCTCGGGCTACAAAACATCGAAGTAAGCTTGACAAATTTTATGAGAATAGTAGGGAATCTGGGGAATTTTCTAGCTATAGTACAGTGAATTCGATCGAATGATCCCCTTCTTCTTTGACGTAACGTGTTTCCAGACCGCGAAGGGTATAAAAATAAGCTTTAAATTTTTTCAGGATTCGAGCTTTGAGATTCAAACTCTTGTGAGAAAAGAGGTGTCTTTCCCACAAACCAAATATCTGATCACTGCATTTCCCTTCTAGGAATCTTTACCACACATACAGTCCCCAAGTACAGAAAAAATAAGGATGCTATCTCATCAATTTGGATTTGACCTAAAAGACGAAGATATCAGCATGTACCAAGGTAAACGGCTATATACGTACCGCGCTACCGGAGGGGGGATACTTGGGTCAATTTGTGCTGGGTATGTACCGCTTGCCTCTTAGAATCCCTACCCCATTATAGTCAATTCTGTGGCCAATTATAGACCCCATCTTAGTCACCTTTGGGCAAATATGTAATTTTCGCGATCCCAAGTTAGTCAACTTCTATTAATATTTTGTCTATCAGGGGCACCCAACGACAATTTTCGGAAGAATATCTGTTCGGAAGGCGATTTGTGATCTAGAATTTTCGAAACATTTGTTGTAAATTTCTTGCTTGCCTGCCTCTCCTAGGATTTTCGGACATAGAAAAAATGGTATAATTGCCTATTTTAAACGGATTTTTACCCTAGAAAGGTCACCTAGAATTTTCGGGAGCCTTTTTTCTGGCTGAAATTTTCGAAAAAATAAGTTTTGATCCCTATTATTTTCGGATCTCTAGACTTTCAGCTAGGAAATCCGAACAGATGAAAAATGTTTAGGGGATAAAAATATGCCTATATCTACCGTTTAAATACTAAAATACGTTTAACAATGCTATGTTTAAGTGGTTTTGAACCATATTTTCGTTGGGTGCCCTTGGTCTATCTACCTTATCAATCCGTTAAGTAGGTCATTCCAAAATGAATTGAGCCATATTGAATGAAGAACACTTTCCTTTCCACCCACAGTGCAAACATTCTGGTACTTTTGGTAAATATGAAGAACTGTCTTTCCCCAAAAATCAGAAAATGTGCGACCCCATTCTAGTAAGTCTATTGAAAATGCTGAAGTCAGCCAAGCGCGGTCATTGCACGCGTGCTGAACAAGAATGCTGTATCATGACAGACTAGAAACAATAGACAACTACCAAAGTACAAACTCAGCCAAAACGCTAAAAATCTTCAATGTTTACTCAAGTTTGGGCTTATAGAAAATAATGTCACAGTTTATCAATGACCATGAAATTCAGAATCAGGGTAGTTAGTTAATCAATTGTGACCCTGAAAAAATTGGAAGGGAAAAAAACTACGAATTTTTAAGAAAATGCTTTTTTCGTGAGAAGGACTCTTAAACGCTGACAAACGTCAACAAATAGCTAAAACTATAATTTGTGTATGTTTGCTTTACTCGAAATCGCGCGCATTTACAAGGCCCTCTCATAGTTTATTAGATATAATCGTGTAAAGTTTGCTCATCATTTTCGCATAAATTATGACCTAAATTTGGAAACCGCTGAATTTCTCGAATTGGGTCTTTGCGATTTTGGGGAAACTCGGTTCAGCGCAAGGCACTAATGCGCACTATGTGTAGCCGAGAGGTTTTCATGAAAAAATGCCGGCAACAGCAGATTTTCGACTCAGACCTCAAAGGGGCGTGGCATTATAACCACGTGACATTTACTCGGATCGCCAAAAATTTTATGTTATATTGTAGATTGATCTATATGTTATCCATTCTATGTGTTAGACTTACGATAAAAGTAATGGTGGGGATACCAGAGAGCTACAAAGTAGGATGGTACACCCCCAAAAAAACGGGGTCGAGTCACCTTAACGCTTTTTTTTTTGTTATTTTTTGTTGGTTATTAAGTAGATGTAAAAAAGAAGCTATAGGGTAAAATCTGAGAGTTCAACAGCCGTCAGCAGAGAAACTTGACCCACTAAACACGAATTTCATAAACACGTCTCATACAATAAATAGAAGTGCATTTTACATGCCGGACTACTTACATATTTCACTTTACTTCTTCAGCTTTTAGTTTCTCATAGGTTTATAATCAGTCGTTGTAATTTCAAAGAATCGTTTCAAATGAATATTACTTACCTGAACTGTGTAGGTCTCTATCCATCCTGTGTAAACAGTTTTAGTTTCACTACTTCTTCTTGTAGAAATACGTTTCACGTAAACTCTGATACCAGGTTGAACGCGGTTTTACCTCAGTTAGTTTTCTATCTATTGTCTAAAAAAGGTTGTGATCAAAGAGACGGCGGTTCAGCTTTTTCCATTTTATTCTTCCCCTATCCGCAGTACGCTATAAGAACCCCCTCTCCCCTCTAATACTTTACTACATCTACACTACAATTTTTTTATTATCTGGATTTAATTTAGTCCTTAGCCAAGGACTGAACTCCTAATCACAGGATTCGCAGTATACCACCATCTCCACTTGACCACGTAACATTTTATCTGCAAAATATTTACCTTGAAGTGAAACTTAAACTCCGTATAATCGTCTCAAATCTACCCATAGGTTGCTCGGGATTGATAAAGACTGTCAAAGAAGTTTAGGTAATCAATTCCGAATTAAATTGTTCGTAATTGTACCCACAAAAGGTGACATATGGAAAGCTTCAGTTGGAATTCTGGTCCGCAGGAGTACTTTTCCCCCAGAAATGGAATAGCAAAAGATACTATTGATCATGGGGCAGGAATGAATGCAAAACCAATTGTTCTCTAATCACTCTGCAGTGAAACGAGAACAAATCATTTTCACTCTAGAAATCATGAAACGCAGACAAGAATCAGGAATAGGCATCTCGTTTATTGATAGCTAGAACACGGGCAAAATACATGAATAAACATACTACAAACAACAGCTAACGAAGACGTAAGCTAACAATAATGTCAATAATGTACAATCTGGTAATAACCTTTCTGAAAGATTAAATATAATAACAAAAAAGATAACAAATACAAGAAAATTTACAGAACGGTAGCGAGAGATGCCGTCAAGTGACCTTGAATCTGTAAAGAACACCTTATATACCTGATAACAAATAATCACGCACACTGTCAAAATAACTCACGCGACAAATAACAACACATCCGTACGCAAAGCACTGAAGCAACGTGCATTCCTTAACGCGAGAAAATACATCAGCATTGAAAAATTTTTTTCGACAGCCAATCGAAATCCGCTTCAAAGATCTATTTTATTGATTATTTTCTTATGTAAAGACAATAAAATCAAGTGCACTACGTGAAAACAGTGAAAATTCACCTTTTGCCTTGGACCTCTATCAAGTTTCCGTCTAAGCGTTGATCTCCTCGAGTCACAAGACAAGAGGTGACATAAAGGTTTATAAAGCTTGGAACTGACCAGTGCATTTTTTCGAAAAGTTCTGTTACTATTACGATACAGTGATTACTCATTACACGATGGGGAAAATACGGTAACGTAATTTGGTTGATTTGATTTGCTTGGCGCCAAACGCTACTCAATCAGAAGATCAAATTGTGGCCCAATATGAACCAGATCGAAAAGCATTCAAAAAAAGAAAAATTACCAATGGAGGTCGTTCCAGCATGGGCGATCCATTTGGGGGGTTTGTCAGAAATTGCCACCGTCTGGGTTTCATTGCACGATTTATCAGAGCACGAAGCCAGTGATTTGACCCAGACTTTGTAGTCATTGACATGCAGAGGCAGCTTTCCGGTTTCTATCACCGATGCAAGTGCATTAAAAGCGCCATTGAAATCCACAGAAGGCTTGGGCGTTTTTGTCATGTTAATGGCCTTTTTGTCCGCCAGAACGATAGTAATTTCTTGGGTATCCTCTACGACAGGGTTATCTGTCCCTCGAAGAGTTTCAGGATACGCTAGCCAGTCCACGATTTCTGTATCCCAATTCATGGCCTTCGCAATAGCTGAACCCACCCTATCAGCAAATTGATACTTGGCATCGCCCTCCAAAGGAAAATCGGACGAGCGCCTTTTGCGTTTCGACTTGAAAATCTTCACAAATATCTGCCCAACTCTGATAAACTCCTCTTTGACGATTCCACCTCCCTTAATGACGGGGCGAAATCCTGCTGTGAGGCACTTGCGGGCAGCGCATTTGGTTCCAATGTGCCACATCCCAAACTATGGACTTGATCTGGGTTCCCTACGATTCTTTGCCTCCTACCTAGGTAACAGGAGCCAGAAATGTTATGTTAATGGCGTATTGTCCAGTGCAAGCGAACTAAGATGCGGAGTCCCACAGGGTAGTATTCTCGGTCCTTTGTTCTTCTTAATCTATATAAACGATCTTCCAAACTGCCTTAATTCAGCATGCGCTAAAATGTTCGCAGATGATACAACTATTACCATTTCTGGTTCCTCTCTAGCTGACCTTGAACAAGAGACTAACTTAGAACTACTGAACCTTCACTGTTGGCTAAAAGCCAATAAGCTTAGTCTTAATGTTGCGAAAACCGAGTTTATGGTTATTGGCTCTCGCCAGAAGCTTCTCGCGGAAAGCCATAACGAAATAAACATCAAACTAGAAGACCAAGTTATCAGCAATGTTGATCACGCAAAATCATTAGGTCTCATTATTGACAATCGGCTTTCCTGGTCTAATCATGTTAACGAATTGTGTAAGAAGGTAACTTCGGCTATAGGTGCCCTTAGACGTATTAGGCCCCTTATCTCCCAATCTACTGCGGTACTAGTCTATAACTCCTTAATTCAACCTCACTTTGATTACTGTAGCCTTGTTTGGGATGGCTTAAGTGATCAACTGAGTGACAAATTACAAAAGTTACAGAACCGTGCAGCTAGAGTAATTTTAAAGGCCAACTATGGGACTAGCTCGAGCCTGCTTCTTGATATACTCAAATGGGACAAATTAGTTATAAGGAGAAAGAAGCATAAAGCAATAATGATGTTTAAATCTCTAAATGAACAAGCTCCAGTGTACTTGCAGAACCTATTTCACGAACGAAGCACAGACTATGATTTGCGCAATTCCTTTCATAAATTGACGTTGCCCAGGCCGCGTACTAACTACTTGAAACGAAGTTTCAGTTACAGCGGTGCTTTGTTGTGGAACTCTTTACCCGAAAATGTGAGAGAAACTAAATCAGTCAGGAAATTTAAAGAGCAAATCAAACATGTATTTGAGTCGTCGGACTCTCACTCGGCAGTCTTGTAAAACAGTATGTCGATAGTTTTTAGTCTAATTAATTGTGATTAGATTTTTACTCTATTATTACTGAAGATTTTACCGAGTTTTAAATAAAAAATCTACCTACCTACCTACCTACCCTTCCATAGACCTCCAAGCCGTACTCAACTCCGTGAAGGACCCCTTTATGGTAAAAAAGATCTTGAAGTATTCAGCGCAGTCGAGATCGCATACCGACGGCGTATCTTTGCCAGGATTTAGGTAACATGGAATGTGAGAATCAAACGCCCTGTCTCGAATATCACGACACGACGACTTACTCCATGGGTATAGTAATTGGACGAGAGCTACCTGGAGACATTTGCGAACAGCGTCAATCCATTGTTGTCCCAGCTGACTGAACGTGGATTTCTGATCGTCATACAACCTGCAAAATTTTTCCGCGTACTTAAGTGCGTAGGCGTTGGTTGTGGCTTCGCAAGGATGGCTCTTTTCCAAACAATTACGATACCAGTCGCAAGAGTGACCTGATGGACTATAACAATCCGAAGGCAGACTTGGCGACCTCGTAGGTATCGCGTCAGGGTCACAAGAACAGTCTTCGGGAAGTGGCATCAGGATGGGATGTTTAAAGTACTTCTTTATGAACGAACAGGGCATCCAGCAATACTTTGCTCGGGTATAATAACAAGAAACTTTGTAGCCGGATTGTTGTTTCATGTATGTAGTATTAAGACAAGTCGACCACTCGTACTCGCCAGGAGGCCAGCTTTTTCTGCAATCGTTTCCCCATTCTGGACCATTTTGACGCGAACATTCCGCTGCCCAGCAGCATTGCAGTGAAAACAACAACAAGATGATTGACCACATAATGGACCTGCAGGAAATGTTGGGAAAGTAACTTGATCATAAATATCAAAACAGCAAAATTACCGTTAAGGAGCGACGGGCGGCCGTAGAACCGCATGCACGCAGTTATGAGGCCAGCAATCTGAATGGCTAGCGATTGCTTCTAGAAATATCCACTATTTTAGCGTTTATGTTAAAACGCAGATCTTGCAGATTGCAGATTGTGCAGATTGCGCAGATTGACTACTTTATTACTCGTCTCTTTTTCACACCAGAACGCTTCTATGGTGGTCAAGCATGCAAGCTTTGTCAGTGTTTCAGCTTCTAACACAAGATATCCTGAAAGGGAAGTCTCCTTCGAATACAATAAACATCCCAAAAATCGACAATGTTGACGTTTGTGCAGTTTCACGAGCAATGTCATTTTCCAGTGAAGCCAATGAAATCACACTATGCCAGTTGCACATTTCAAGAGGGTGTATGAAAGCCAATGAAATCGTACAGTTTACCGAAAAGCGTTGTTGAATCTTTACATTTCCTCGACACGGAAGTTCGTTGATTCCATTTATTCTTACACTGCGCATGTTCCCGCATCGAACACGAACTCAGTTTTGAAATCTAAAACAGTGCCAAGACGTAAAGAAGAATTCCTGCTACGCGTCACTTCCACTTGACGCGTCACGTCATGTGGTAATCAAGATGTTCGATCTCCAAGACTAATGCGCCTGGCCAGAACAGAAAATTCGTACTCCAATCCAAAGGTAGCTAGAATTCTTTACTTTAGCTAATTACAAAACGAAACATTGAGCAACTCCTGTGCGTGTCGCAAAATGCATTGTTTGTGTGTATTTTTACAAATAAAGGGACATCACATGTCGATATAGAGCACCTCTTTCAAAAAGTAGTCAATCTTCACAAACTGTACGATAAGCGTATTCACATGGCCGCTATTTTAGCGAGTTTTTCTTGCTGAGAAGTTGTCATTACGATCCCTCGAACTCATTTCAAATAAAATGGTTCTCTTTTCAAATACCAAGGAAAGATGAATACAGTTTACTAAACTTCTACTTGAGCGAGCTGAAGACAAATGCGAGAGCTAGTTTCTTGACAACAAAAGATCATTTCGGTCCCGCCGATACTCTGATAGGTCAATTCGATTCTTAATTGACGATTACTGGCCGGCAAATAGATCAATCTTTCATTAGTTATTATATACCATTTTCACCCATTTTGACAAAAAGGAGTTGCAAATGAGAGTAACGTAAAACAACATTAACCTTTTTTTTTTTAATTAAATGCACTTGTACCTACTTATTTACAAAACCTTGCATGTAGTTACTTCATACGCAGTTAAATGTATTTGCAGACTCTTTAGAAATGATACACCCCAACTGCTTCGCCATCGTTTATGACATTCATATATATGCCACAGTTAAGAATTATGAAGCGAGAAAATTATAGTACACCACCAATAGATACATATTTATCTACAAACGGCGCTAGATCATAATTAGAAACAAACCTATTCACAAAGGAAGATATGAAGCGAGCAATGTTTACTTCAGGAGTCCTTTAGTTTTAAATTTCTTCGTGGAATATATGCATTCATAGAAGCAATCAAGGAAACAAGCTTCTTTTCAGACCCACTTTGTTCAGTTCTTGACGTTTTGAATTGCAAGGCCGCTTTCCCTCACTTCATAAATCAGACAAGTTCACTCGTAGTATCGACTTCATACAGGCTTTAAGACACTACTATCGATGATTTCTCGGAATGCCTAATATTAGTATAAGCTTTCTCTTACGCAAAGAGAAGGGGCAAGAGCTATTGAAAGTCTCTGAAAATGCCAAGGCAGCCGATCTTTTCCAAAGTTAGTTGACAAGATTTCCTGATTGCTTTCTGGCAAGAACGTTTTGTTACGTTCGACTCGACTTCAAGCCAAACTGTGAGATTGGGAAATTAATGTTTATTATTTTACCTGGGATGTGACCTTTCATTTTGGAAACAGTACGTTTGACTAAAGTTACATCTCCTTTCAGGTTCTGTTGTCATCCACTGGGAAAAACATTATTTTACCTTCACGGAAAGATAAAGCGTGCTGTTTCAGTGATTTTGCCTCACCTTGCGAATTTTGGCTAAGTCTTAAACGGGTCCTCCTGCCGCCATTTACACCGACTCAGTCGTAAGTGTTCCTTGATTTCTCGGAAAGCTTGACGTTGCGAGATGGGTGAGACCTCTGTGATAAACAAGACCTTCGATACGTCATAGAACTGCATAACCAATAGCATCAAAGAGTCTATTTTCACTGACCACGCCGTGATGCAGGCCGTGATGAGCGTGACCTTTTGAAATTCTGTGGAATTTTACGACCGCATACTCGTGATCGACACACAGATCTCTTTACCCAGGGGCCCCACTCACATATTTTAATGACGGGCAGGTCCGACAGAGGTTCACATTTTATACCCAAAAAAATCCCAACTTCAGAATTTGTCTACCCCAAAAAATCCCTACTTCTTTTAGCATACCCAAAAAAAACCCTCAGTGTTTTTGCATCGGCAAATTCTTTTATTTTTCTTCTCGGGAACCTAAAACATGCCAACGTCAACTTTGGTTTTGGTCAAAAACAAAACTATACAAAACCAAATACAGAAAGTTCGCATGACTGTAATAGTGTCTCTTCATCCTATCTTCTGCGACAACTTTACAGGAAGATATTCATTATGACATCTACAGCATGTCTTGTCCTTAGCAAATTCTTTGCTTGCTATTGTACCGAAACATCGCTACGTAACAGACCTCAAGGCATCAGACTTTTCACCATGTTTTTGTGCAACTGATTTCTGAAAAGGTGGACAGACAATTCCCACCAGGTATAGAACACATCCATACACACCAAATCGTGTTTCACCAGGCGTGTTACATGGGAGTGTGGTGAAATATAGCAACTCGGGGCAACTCAACTGTATCAAATATAAGACTTGAAAATTAATACACTGTTCATTAGAAATTCAAGCCAAACTGTATCTTTACAAACAGCATTGGAAAGTAAAAACCGGATCTATTAATTGTGATTAATGTGTGGTGTACACAACCGCTCGCCTGAGTCGCCCTGTTCGAGTGCGGGAAAGTTGGACTCTTCGACCATCGTCACCTATTGAATATTTCTCTCTGGATTAGATGCGCGTGGAGTGCCGGTAATTACTTTTCACATAGATTACAATCTCAGAAATATCCCGTAATACCACACAAGCAATAAATTGCGCTTATGTTATTGTTAATTTGAGCTGATGAAAAATATAATACCCAAAAAAATCCGTGTGTTGTTTTCGCGACCCAAAAAAATCCCGGCGTCTTTCATGAACCCAAAAAAATCCCTTTTGGCCAAAATGTCAGACTTAAAAAAATCCTTCGGACCCCCCCGTCATTAAAATATGTGAGTGGGGCCCCTGGGTCTCTTTAGATCTCTTATTCTGGGAAAGGAAGCGTATAGCTGGAATATCTTCGATGCAAACTGAACTCCATGAACTCCAGCTCTCCGTGTTAATACACTGGTAAGACATTCACTTGTACTCATCCGATGTTATGATGTTCTATTTTTACCTAGCCTTCTTTCGCTTTGTCGCTGTCTTGTCGTTCAGTGTCTATCCTCTAGCATGAGCTTAACCTCCCTCTCTTATCGGCTGTATTTCTTTTTTTTAATCGTTAATTGTTATCGAGTTAATTATCCAGAGAAGTACGGTGCGTTTTAAATGGTTTAGATTCGAGTACAGATGTGAATTTCACGCAAATTTTATACTTCTGTTCTCAAGCAAATATGGCGTCCCGTCTTACTTCCTCATTTGTGATCTTTCCCAAACATATAGCCATTCTCTTGTAACATTATTATACAACACCCATTCTTGAGGAGAAAGAGCTCCTATTCACTAACAGTTAGTTCATGAAACGAACAGAGAGTTAATAAAAGCTAGGTTATGAAAGAAAGTGAGGGTCATACTCGGTCTCAAAATCCTGTGCAGTTTTTCTTTGTTTTCTAGCTATTATTTTCCTTGGCTCTATTGTGTTGACTTCTCAGTGGCTTCTTGTCTTGGTTTACGTTACTAGTGAGTTTCACATGTTCTTACTTGAACTTGACCTTCCATGGGGAAATCGAAGTTTAGTTTTGCGGGTAATCATCATAAACATTCCTTCAGTGATTAAAGGTGGCCTGAACCCATTTATATGCGCGTTGGTTATGTTTTTGAAACGCGCTTTTCGGCAGGAAAAATGTGATCGATTTCTATGATTCTAGTCATCCTTAATAACGAATGATCGAACTTTAAGAAACTGAAACTGTTTTACGGCAGGAAAAATTTAACCGATTTCTATGATTCTTGCCATCATTAACAAAGAATGGTCGAAATTTAAGAAACTGTTACGTATTTTCTTGTAGGTATTAAAACGTTTGAGATATCGGCATATGTTTAAAACCGCATTTTTACAAAAAAATGTTGATAACTCGAAACCCTGATATCTCAAAGGTTTTCATACCTACAAGAAAATAAATAACAGTTTCTTAAAGTTCGATCATTCGTTATTAAGGATGACTAGAATCATAGAAATCGATCACATTTTTCCTGCCGAAAAGCGCGATTTTAAAACATAACCAACACACATATAAATGGGTTCGGGCCACCTTAAACCCATAATTATTTTCCCTGAGGCTGAAGTCAATTCCTTCCCCTGACTTTTCAGTTTGTTGAGATTTACTTGGTATAAAGGTGCTCACAGGTGATGAATACAGTACAATACAGGGGCGTAGCCAGAATTTTTCCAGAGGTAAACACAATTTTTCACATCCCCCCCCCGCCCCCAATTTGACTGGGAGAAGCACTCACATTGACATAATCGTGCTCTCCTTTGTCTACTGCGAAGACACGCCTGAGTGAAAATAATGTGTTCATGTTTTATACCATCATGCTTGCTATCTGTGCGCATCTTTAAGTATATCATCAAGATTCAAACAAAAACCAACTTTCTGATGTGGGAGAAAAGAGTGTTATTTTGAAAACCGATTTTCGGGTGTGGAAAAAACAAGCAGTCCGCTGTTTCAGGAAAAATACTCCAAAGAATCAAACAGAGTTAAACGGAATTTAGGCAATTTATAAAAAGTGCAACAAAATCTTAACCCTGGATTAGTGCTATTCAGCCTTCAAAGGAACCGGGCTTTGGAGATTATTGTCACTGTCAAAAGTCTCGAAAATTGTGGTCACTTTTGATTTCTATGCAGGCTAGTAATGTCTACTGCCCTTGTTTAGTTCTGTTTGTAGGCAGCAAGATCCTCTCCTTGGCTGTGAAGTTTCTTTTGCGTTGGCGTCTCTAACTTCCAGTGATTCAGACAATGCAGGAAGATTTTTGCCAAGTCACGCATTATCTCCCATTCTCGTTGTGGAAGGTGACCAAATTTGTAAAGGACAAAGTTTAGGACTGCCTAAGAGATTAAAAAATACAATTATAATCTCATTTATATTCATTCCATTTGTGTTTGATTTAAATCTCCGTTTTACCTTGAACAAATTTGGAAGGTGTTTGCTGATGTCAATGTACATCTACTGTTATTATAATTTTACGGTTATTGACTGTTATTGACAGGAGGTCGGTTTAAAACCCTCCTCGACTAGGAGAATACTTTATATAAGAATTAGCCTCATCCAATAATGCTAATTAACTTGTACTGACATTTAACAGTAATAACCAGACTGATTGCTTAGTATTGGTGAGTTTCAACCTAAGGTAAAGACATTACAATCTTAATACTATCTCAATAAACATGGTACCAGCAATAATAATGTGGCTTGAAAACTCAACATCCCCTATTCTAAAGTGCTGTATGGGTAGAATGAAGGCACCATAGACTACGAGCAGTCTCTCTTTTTTCTGTAGTCCGTCCAGCAAAGCACGAGACACGCAAATGGCCTGGCGCATGACTGAAGGTGCGAGACGGGAGCTCCCGTGCGCGTGCACTGCTCTCACTAAATCTGAAAAAAAAGAGAGACTGCTGGTAGTCTAAAAGCAGCATTGCTTTATGTACTGTTAATTAAATCCAATTATATTATAACTGGATAAATTTAATGTGTGAGCCACTGTGGGTACCACTTACTTTTTTAATACTTGGCTTCTCAAAAGGCGGTGTCCCGAGGGGACCCTCCATTGTAACATTTGCCATCTGCAAAATTCCTTTTCTCAAAAGTCTAAACAAGTAAAAGTAAACTTGCTTGGTGTCAGCATCTTCCTCCTTGTGCACACACATAAATAAGTTCTCTACATCGATTAACATGCACAACAGTCTATTAAGTTCATCTTCTGGAATGTCATGTAAGTGTGAGATGTGGGCACCAAGGGTGTGGCTGCAACTGTGGCATGGGTCTGTCAAGTTAGCAAGGGGCTGAGAGAGGTCCACTCTACTGGGTGTTGGTGGGGGATTGGGATTCTTCCATCCATTACATTTGCAAGACTCCTCAGCCTGAAGGAAAAGAAAAGGGCCAACTTAGACCGCAAAACAGTCAAGCTTTTTCTCAAAATCTTTTTTTTCAGAAGCGAAGCACCGGCATAGCATCAGAGTCTCACACACACAAATCCTGTAATCCTCTCATTCACACAGGGCATGTGAGGGAGAGAGAAAAAAACAGCCTCGCTCCAGACCTTTTGTTTGACTGTTCACATGTACTTGACTACCCAAAAATACGGACTGTTTTGAAGTCTATGACCAACTGTGAATGAAATGGGACTTGATTGCAAATGTCAAGACTTGTAATGTGATCCTGAAGAATCATTCTGCAACAATAGTGTATTATTTGCCTGCACTGTCATCCTTCATGATGAAAGCCAAGACCTCTAAGCGGTACTATTATTTTTTCTATTCTTCACACACAAAATTGTCACTTTTCTTTAATTTTCAGCATTGGCACGTTTAAATCATAAGAATGAATGTTATTTTGAAAGTTATAAAAATGTAAAGGACTCCTCCCCTCCATGGTTTTGTCAACTTTTGGCTTGAACTACAGTTGGTGACAATCTATCAACATTACAGGAAAGAGCACCATAAAAGCAATGAAGTAACGTTAAATATCAGAGTGACGTGTTGAAAACTAAGAAAGATGTGGCTCTTCAAAGTTACAAAATTTCACTTACTTTTGTACAGCGGAGTGGGGGAGAGGTAAACATTTGGGTAAAGATCTAAAGGAAATACCCACTACCAGTACCCAGTTACGGAGAATCAAGGTTATTTGCGAACATAATTATTACAGTGGAACCTTATTTTAACGAATCTCTGGTTATAACGAGCAATATTCCTATCCCCAGTTATAGCAAAATATATGGAAAAGAACCTCAATATAACAAACTCTTCTTTTAGCAAACATATTTTGTCAGTCCCTTGCAGGGCTGTCATAAAGGGCCGGGGGCCGGGATTTCCCCCAGCTACTATGAATGTGGCCCCTGGCTACTTTCACTGGAAAATAGAAGAAAAATAGAACCAAAAGAAATCCTTAGCTGTTTGATTCCCCACCAAGTTGTTAAATTTACCTGGTAACTTGAAATCTTAGTGACAACCTTGCCCTTGGCCCTTCATTACATCGAGGTTTCACTTTCATTCACAAGTATCCACCTTCATCCACCTTCATTCAATGTCATTCATCGTCATCCATTTTCATTCACCTTCATCCACCTATCCACCTTCAGTCACTTTCATCCACTTTTATCCACCCTCATTCACTTTCATCCACTTCCATCATCCACCTTCATTGTGTGGTTCCAGAAAATAACCATACCCCCCCCCCACCCCCCACGGAAGATCATTGGAAATTCCGAGAGGGAGGGGGGGTTCAAAGGCAGTAATTTCCAAGGGGTAGGGGGGTTCATGGGAAACTTCTTTTCCAAGAACCTACGATCAATCTGAAGCACAAAAACATACTTACATACGTTGTTTTGAAACAAAAGTCAGTACTCCTGGCTATTGAGATGAGGTTAACATCATGAGCTTTAATGTCTCTGTTTTTCTTTGAGTTAGCTAGCACTACAATCTCTAGAAGAATGATGTGTCTTTGGAACAAAGTCAAAGCAATTGAAAATAGTGGACATAACTGGAGTCTTCTCCCCAGACTTCCAGCTTCGTCTCGTTTTCGTCCGCCCAACATTTTAGTGCTTTCACCTTCCTTCACTGAGTATCACTTTTCGCTACCTTCACTTGCAGGAAACACATTTTTGATAGGTTTCATGTTTTATCAGTGTTTATAATGGGGGTAGTAATTCATCATCATCGTCATCATTATCAACTTTATTTATACACGAAATTTTATCACAATAAAAGTGGTCTTCTCAGGAATCGTGAATAACTATCTACGATCTATAACATATAATATTCTACAACTCACAAACAATGCATTGAGATGAGAGTTCTTTCGTTCCCATTTCTTGTTCGACCTTCAGAACACCTGGCTACCTTGCTAGTAAAATTACTTCTGTAATCGTGACGATGTTCACGAAATGTGAAACCAATTGCGTTTGGCATGTTGAATTGAAGTTTTTGGTCCTGAAATAAGAATCAACCTGAAGAAACTGACAAAATGTGTAGACAAATAAACGGTCAGAAAGGAACCTTGTAAGTTTCTATTTTTTTTTTTTGCTATCGTTTGCAAAGTTGTTTAAGCAAATGAAACTTAAGTACCAGTAGTTCTCCTCATAACATACACGTCGGAGTCAGCACAAAAACGTAGAACAACTCAAATGTTTAAGCTTATAAGCTTACATAAAAACAGCACAGGTAAAAATTTTAGCTGTTGAGGTGAAGAATAAGCTTAAATAAAGTTTACACTTCCATTACACTGTTGTGATAAAATTCTACCGTGTTTTCGTAACTGAGTTTATATTCACTTCTTTTTTTAACCCATTCGCCCCTGAACCGCCCGTAACCACCCGTGCGGGTCCCGGTCCTTTCTACACATCTGACGTCATCAGTTTTCACAGTCAAGGACAACTTTCTTCACTAACTTGTGCAGAGTGAAGAGTGAAGAGATCTTTTAAACCATACCAGAATGAGCACAATTCAGTCAAGGACACTGGAGAAAGAAGCAAAAAACCACGTGACATTGACGTGAAAATCTCCGTGAAAATCTTGTTCCATTGCTCACCTACCTTTCCTTTCACCTAATCCTAAGGTCCTAAAAGCGTTCCTAAAAACTCTTCCCACCAAAATGAAGCCTACTAAATGCTCAGCAAGAGAAAAAAAAATGAGGCAAGAAAAGCGAAAAAAGAAGGGAGGAGAGAAAGCGAAAAGTAAAAGTCAAGACTGCTGTGTCACTTTTAAACCCAAAAACTCTCGAAATTTTGCTTTCTGCGCATGCCCAAACTTCGCAAGCTGATATTTTGCATCTGGATCAGAAGGCTCCGAAGTGTACGACCTGTAAACTGGTTTGTGGTAAGTTTTAGCTCTTTATAGCACGACAGTGACCGGAAAACCACTCAACTAGCTTCAAAACGCGTTTTTCGGCAAAATCTCCAGGAGCGAATGGGTTAAAGCATTAAAACGACTTTGAATTTCAGAGGGAGGTAAGAAGTCCCCGTTTAAAAGTTCTGGAAATTCCTGGAGAGAGGGGGGTCATCAAAGACCCCATGGAACGGAAAATCCTGGGGGTGGGAGAGTGCAAATCAAAGAGTCTTCCGTGGGGGAGGTATGCATATTTTCTGGAACCACACATTCACCGTCATTCTACAATACTTTGCAAGTTTTGTGGTGCTGTCTTACCTTCACACATTTCATGTCTACCACCTTCAAAATTGACAATAAAAAGCTAAAAAATACCATGGAAGGGGAATGTGACCCCACAGGAAACAATGAGAACAGTGGCATAATAAGATTTCAACATTCAAAGAAACCTAAATACCATCAGCCATGAAAAAAAAGTTCTTTACAAGAAAATAAAAGATTTTTCCATCATTCCACTCCAGTGAGCATACACAATGAAATGAGGTAAAGTAACTTTTACCTTGCAAGATGAATAGACGCCCAGCTTTTCAAGCTTTTTTCTAACAGGATATGTCTTGATTTGAGCTTTCCTTTGTACGATTCTTTGTAAATTAACGGGACGAGTAAGCTCTGATGGCGTTATTTGCGGTGTTCCTGGCCGTTTCGTATTGTCTGAACCATTTGATGGAGAAGATAACTCACTGAACCCTACACCCTGACCCGCCACCTTGAATTTTTTTAAAATTTTATCCTGGTCAGCGGTTAGTTTAGCATCACTTAACGTCTTATGAATGCTTTACTTAAGTGTAACCTTTCTCCTTAAAAATGGCGGATAGCAAAGACGGAAAAATCCTGTTCGTTTGCCTCAGAAATATATGTCGTTCACCTTCCGCCGAAGCAATCCTCAAACATCTTCTCGAAAAAAGAGGGAACAGCGCTGATTGGGAAATCGATAGCGCTGGAATACTTGAATACTTGAATACTAAAATGGTTTAAATAAGCATTCCTGCTTGGGGAATGCTTATTTAAACCATTTTATTAGTTGAACACGACAAAGTGTGGCCCTTATAATGTGGAGATTAAACATACCCTGCTAGCAGAGTCGCTTCGATCTTTCCTAGATAAGTCGGGAAAGAGGAAGCCTTCCTTCCTCTTCCCGACTCATCTAGGAAGAAAGAAGGAGACTCTGTTCGCAGGGTAGATTAAACACTGTAAATGCATTAAAGAATTCTCTGAAAGCATGATTATCTGCAGACTGCACAATGCAAGAGCAAAGGTCCGCACAATGATTTTAATACCTCAACGAGTTTCTCCCTAATACCGTTTATAAAATAAATTTTCAAGGGCTGCCTCTAGCTCCAGTATTAAATTGGTCCCCTTCTCTAAACAGCTCCGCCTCAACATGGCTGGGGAAAATACTACAAATAGATAAATAAAAAATAAGCCCTGCTAGGTAGCTTGTAGACAACAATAATTTAAATATCAAAGACATGGGGAGATGGAGGATCTTGCAAACTCGATGTCAGACCTGAATGTGTGGAATAAGATTATTCAGAGCATCCCGACCGAAACGGCCGAATGATGATGAATAACATTAAGAGTACCAAGTAGCGAAATCCAAACCGGTTGGCTGCTTTGAAATGTTTACTCTCACCGGGGCCTCCTGATTTCAAGTCCAACACTCTGTCCGGTTCGGTCACGCTTACTTCTCTTTAAATGAAAATAACGACACTTACTGCCTTGTGCAATTTCCCGCTTTCATAACAAAATAGACTTCGGTGAACAAACTAGAGAGATTAAGGGTCACGTTTGCGGCAAACGACAAACGTCAGATTCAAGTTGAGAAATTCACAGAATAGAAAATAAGCAGATAAAAACTATCCAGAACAATTCTTATGGGTAAAACTGGCCTGAAACTACTTATTTTTAAGTAGAAGTAATAAACAGCAAGCGACAATTAAGGGAAAAAATTGGTCAAATGGTACAAATTCACGTTTGCCGTTTGAAATAATCTTTATCGTACATCCACGTTCACCCCTCTGATGTGCTTTCTTCTTAGTCTGTGGATTCACTAATGCAATACTTTACTGCTAAATCCTTGCGTCCAACATGTTCATGACACAAGGCTTCATACAAGACTAAGTAAGCTGCTGACGAGGCCTTTTTCCTTTTCCACGTATGCAACATGCGGTAACATTTTTCACGGAGTTCTTTATTATCGTGGTCGAATCCTTCTATTTCTGCTTCGCCGAATTCCAGGCGCCTCGCAAGGGGTTTCCACGATACCCCAAGCTCTGTTGACAACCCTTCCAAATCATAGTCCACAACCATTTC